TATATATATATATTACTTTAGTTGCATAGTCCTAAAAAAAATGTATAGTTATTGATGATTAAACTTCATTAAAGAAATCACTCATTATATTTGCTGAGAAATTTTCTTCTAATTATTTACTTTTTCCATTCAAAATGCTTACACTTAAAACCTTGCTTAAAGTTTGTAACAAAAATAAAGGTTTGTAAAAAGAAAAAACCTTACTTAAAATTAAAGTATTATTGCTTCTTTTATTTTCTCCCTTTGATAATTGATACATCAATTCCAGATTTGCCCCCTTTTCCTCAGAGTTTTCTATCATGTAACGCGGTTGGGATGGAAGGATCATTACTGTGACAGAGAGAAATATTCGATAAAGATTAGAGGTCGCTTTAGGTATATTACCTTTTTCACATTCCCCATTCCCCAACACAACACCAACACCATTTGTGAGCCATAGGCATTATATTACGAAAACCACAGCTACCGCTAACAACAACCTCTTCATGATTCCATGTGCTGCACATGCCTGCCATAATATAGCATAGTTCATGAATCATATAAAAAAAAAATAAAGCACTAGCAGCCACTCATATATACAAATTTCATATAAACACATTATTGTTGTGTGTCGATTTTTAGCGTCTTACTAGGCCTCTGTGCTTTGGCAAGAGCCTAGAAAAGTATGACCAAGATTGGCATAATCTTAACGTTGTTGGTCGCGGTGACGGCATCCTGTTTTGTCTGTGCGTTACGAAATGGGAAAATTGGAGGATTCTATTTAGTAGTGGCGCTTGTGACTATTGCTTCAGTGATATTGGCTTTCCGAGCCACAACGGTGGCACTCATCACAGTGTTGGTGCTCCTGGCGTTTGCAGGTAACCGTCGCATGGTTTTGATTCAACGAGGAGGGCGAATTAGCCTTGATGTGGCGTGGTGTTTGCTCAGCGTTACATTCGGATCACAGAAGGGGCTTTTCGCTCTGGCTTGTGCCACCCTTCTCAGCTTGTTTGCCACCTATCGATGAATGAAGGTTAGTGTTTTTCAATGCAATGTATTCTCGTTACGATTGGGCCAAAAACTTGTACAAATAATTTAGAAAATAGCCTAGTGTTCTGACTGGTTGTAAGCAAACAATTTGTACTAAAAAAAATATGTAATTCACATTTTTTTTTAAATAAGGAAGAAGGGAAATTTCAAATGTTTTGCATATTTGAAGAGTTCTTATCGTTAGGGTCACTTTATTCAAAGTATTGTCTATTTTGACTCGTTGGACCATTACGATTTTATCCTTTAAAAGATATCTTGATAGGTTAAAGAATGTGGGTATTTATAAATTAACATTAGTTACGACTTCTAAGCGATGTGTGATTTTTAGATGTACCGAAATAACATGCAAAATGTCATTGCTGTCACATGTATCGGCATACAGTAGTTGTAGGATAAAGGAGGAAGACCCATCCGAACGCTAAGATATGTGAATGTGTCAAGTAATTAATTATATAATTATGGAGCTAGTACCATTTTGATTTCCACCGATTAAGCAAGACCCATCCTTTTTGTATTGTTTTTCATAGAAATGAGTTGGAATTCTTTCTCCGATACAATTTAAATCAATTCTCAAATTTATCAAAGTAGTGAAAGTTTTATGAAAAATATTTTTGATTTTCAAAGCAATTTTGATTTCTCATTGTTGTTGAAAAGTTTTAATCTGATAAATAGTTTTTTCATTATTAGAAGGACCTTCTTCTTTCACTCTTATCGGGTATTAAGTTAAACAATTTTAATATATCTTGAATTAAGTTATTTTCTTTTGGTGTATGTAATTTGTTTTTAATGACTTTTTTTTTCCTTTTACATCCTTTATTTCTTTATGCAAATCATTAATCATGATTTTTCTTTCTTGTTGTTCGACTTTCTTTAATATTGTAGCAAAATCATAACCTTCAAATTTGTTATTATAGGTAGATTTTTGAGGTTGAAGCTTCTTCTTCTTTTAGTAACATTTTTAATTTTGATTAAAAATTCATATTATTCTTCTTCATTTTTGAATTTTATCAACTATTTTAAGTGCTAATCTAGTTTAAGATTTAATCATATTTATTTTATATGAACATTCACAATTTTTTTCATGGGAGCATTCAAATAATTTTTTTTCACTAGAGGTATTTATTATAGATCAATATCATCTTCAAATTCACCTTCTGAATCAAAAGAATTTTCAATCATGATTTTAGCAATCTGATTTTTAAGTTCTTCATTCATATCAAGATTAATAATCTTTTCTTTAACTCGACAATCTTTCTTCCTATGGCCAAAGTGATCACATTTGAAACATATCAAATTTGAAGTTTTATTACTCTTCTTATAAGGCTTTTTGTAAGACAACTTTTGATTGTCTTGGGTATTTATGGATTTTTATAGTCTTTTTATACAATTTTGAAGATTTTCTATAATTAGGGTTTGTTTTCCTAATATTTTTTCTTTTTACACTGGAAAAGGATTAGGCTTTTCATGCTTGTATTGGGCACAAAAGTTTCCTAATTCTCTCATTCCTTAGGCTTGGCTCTTCTTAGTCCTATTATCAATTTTCATATTATTACAAATAAAAATTCATGTATGCTTTATTAAGGAGATAATTCTACCATAGGTTAATTTTGAAAGGGGTGTGTTTAAGTATTGTTCAAGTATTCTTATTAGATTTTTCCTCTAACCTTTTCTACAAAGACTTGAGGTAATCTTATTAAACATCTTTTTTCCCAAAATGGTTATTTACAATCTTCACGAGTGAGAACCATAGCCATAAAATTATCGCTATATCACCTAAAATCTCCTAGAATTGGACATCTTAGATTGGGTAATAATATGGAAGTTCTTTCGTGGAAAATATTAGTATCTCTAATGAAATTTTGGATAATTGCCAAGATGAGAGTTTCTACCATTATGAGAATTTGGTTTTCTCCTTTTACTTTCACACAGGTAGTGTGATGTAGAAGTGTTATTCAGGTGTTAGATAATGACCATACCATCCTTTAAGGACATCAATAAAACTTGAAACTATCAACTTAACAATTTGTTCTTTGATATGCTTAACCTTATAGACTGAAGTTATCACATGGTCATTTCATTGGTTTTTCTTATGATTTGATGATCTAAGAAACCATCTATATTCCATCCAATTAATGTTTAGTCCACAAGTAATTTCTTCATGTTTTAATGTCACAAGGATAGAAGCATTAATCTTTTCTAGGTTATATAATAACAAAGTAATTTTATCCCTAGGAGACAAGTGAGTTTTCATGACTTTATAATAAAGTCGATGATAATTGGGATTACTCTAAGATCCCAATCTCCATCTATCAACTTAACATCTAAAAGTATGTTGTAATTGGTATTATGGAAGTTAGACAGGGCTATAGAGTAGTTAGAGTAATTGTTGATATAAAATTATCCTGATGAAGGTTTATTCTGAATAAGGCTAGTATTTGATCTTGTAAATTCTTAGGCCTATTATCTCTTATTGAGACAAAGATTGGAGAGTCAATTCCTTATTTATAAAAGGATTTTATGGTCACTTGGATTTGTCCTATATGGACATACTTATACCTTTTAATATGTCCAACTATCAATTGTCATGAAAAAAAAAAGGAATTATTTCATGGTGAGATGATATATCTATTTCTTTTTCAATTGTTTTGATAACATACTCACCTTTTAACAAATCTTTTAAATTCCTTGAATATTTCTAACTTAGGTAGTTTCCATTTGTTGAATTGGGCTTTTGTTTCTAAAATTTTGAGTTCATGGTGGATGATATAGTTTTGTATTTCTTCATATTCTAATTCTAATTATTCTAAAGATTCTTTTTTCTTGGATAACATCTTAATTAACCTAGACATTGTTGTGACTTAGGACTAACAATTTTATTGCCTCACCCCTGGAACTTACTACTAAGACCATCATACCGATTGAACAACCCTAGAACTTAGTTCCTCACCACGCACAAAGTTGTTAGCTAATTATTAGGTTATCCAACAAGAAATAGTACTAACAAAACAAAACAAAAATTCTTAAAAGAAACAATTTAATGAAACAAGTCCGAACTAATATAATACAAAATATAATACGAATATATATTTCTCGAGAAAATTTCAAATTATATAACTGCTATACTATGTTTATTCATTTATTTGTGCGATTTACGATTGGAATTTTAGATAGGAAATTTGAAAATTCTAAAAAAAAATATGAATGTGCTGAAAATAATAGATTAGTTTATTTGTTCTATTTTTCAAATTCTAAGTTTAGAAAATAACAAGATGATAAAAATTTTCTTGATTAATTACATATTCTCAACTAACATAATTTAAAAAATATTACGCATTATATTTTGGAGTGTAAAATAATCTAAGTAGACCTTGACCTCTTAAATAAATTACTTTTTTAGTATTCAAATTCAAGTAAATATTATTAATTTAGGGTTAAATTATAATTAAATTATTTAATTAACCTTAAATTTTTTAAGATAGATACCAAAATAATACTCTTTAATCTATGGGAAAAATAAGTAATAATAATTAAGTGATAATAATAATAATAATAATAATAATAATAATAATTTTGCAGCTTTTATTGTCTTTTCAATTATATACTCCTTTTTGCTCATGTCTCTTTACTAAAAACAAAACAGAAGCTGATATGAGGCGCGAAAGTGAGAGGAAAGAGCAAGAGAAGAAGAAAACACAGAAGGTTGAGTTTATCTCAGGGGGTGCGCAACCAGGAATTGTAGCTAGCGCTCCTAGGATTAGCATGCCTGTTGCAGGTTCAGAAACCATTTAATTTATTTATGCAGTTGTGAAGCTGTTCCTTAGAAGTAATTTCCACATTTTGGTGTTTTATATCGATTTTTTTTCCATAGGTGCTTCTACTGTGACTGCAAGTGGGTTGCCTTTGGTGCCTCCTACAGCTGACTCTATTAATCGGGATGGTAGACAGAATAAAAAATCAAAATGGGATAAGGTATTCATCTAAATAAAGGCAATTGCATCTTCAGTGACATTCTTCATTGTGCTTACGAAACTTTAGTGAATGCTAGGTGGATGGTGATCGAAAAAATTCTCTGCCCTCTACGGGTCTGGATTCTGTATCTACTACTGGAGCTCATGCAGCAATTTTAACTGCTGCTAATGCTGGTGGTGGATACATGCAATTTGCGTAAGTTGATAAACAACTTTGAATTTTCATATGCGTTCTTGTTCTAGTTCTAGTTCTCTTTTTATTTTGTCTATGCTTTCAATTTCTGAGATTTGATTTTGTTCAAGGTCATTCATTGATAACGGATAGCGGTTTATAGCGGTGAGCCAAAAATCTGTTATAAACATATGGCGGACGGCATGGTGGCCTGTGGCAAAAGAAAATAATATACATATTCAAAAAAAAAAACTGCATTACATAAATCACAAACAGCAAAAATAATTAAAAACAAAATATCAACTTAAATAGTTACATATATATATATATATATATATATATATATATATATATATATATACAAAACGTTTATTTTCACTAATATTTTTTGGATTTCAATGTTAGAATTATTTTTAGTTTTAAATTTTTAGGTGTTTTCCCTGTTGTTTCAAAGATGACATATCATTGAGGCTAACATTTATGGCTGACAACATATTTGAGCTTGTGTTAAGAGTAATTATGCTAAGCTTGGTGAAGTATATTTGATCAAACCATGTATTTTGAATAACTGTTAATTCAGAGAAATCATGATTTCTTTTGCAGCTCTACTTTGAAGACGCCTCAGATTTTTTTATTTATATTTGCCTGCCCCCTTTTATAATCGAAGTTGTGTTAGTCTTTATGTAAACTAGATACGTGCCAAGTATTTTTGATATGTAAATATTTGGTATCATTCATGGCATCTATTTATAGTTGTGTTGTTTCACTTGTTTGTAGTACTGTTTCTTTCTCAAAACTATTTTATGTATTACTTATTGTTGGTGATTTTGCAGCTTTTATTGTCTTTTCAATTATATACTCCTTTTTGCTCATGTCTCTTTACTAAAAACAAAACAGAAGCTGATATGAGGCGCGAAAGTGAGAGGAAAGAGCAAGAGAAGAAGAAAACACAGAAGGTTGAGTTTATCTCAGGGGGTGCGCAACCAGGAATTGTAGCTAGCGCTCCTATGAATGTGTAGATGAATAAATAAAAGGAACTGACATGATTGATATCCCATTCAGTTTTTAATTAAAAAAATAAAAAAGAATAATGATAATGATAAACAGATAAGATGGATAACAGTAAATGATTTTCTCTCATATCACTAAAATTATCAGGTGAAGTTTTCAAAGGACCAGGACCAGTAATACAAGTGATGTATCTATGCACCATGAAAATTGACCGTAGATATAATAGTAAAATAATAAACGGTTGAGATATTTAATTTATAATTTTTTTATGATTAAGATTTTAAAATTGCAGACCAGTCTTTTTGTTTTTCTTAATTATCAATCTTTTTTAGGGTTTTGTTTTAGGGTTTGGGTTTTACGCGAGGATTGCGGCGGAAGGAGAGTTGGCGGAGCTTGGTGAGGACGAAGCGAGAGTCAGAGTCGGAGGGGAAGCCAGTTTGGAGGGGCTTGAGGTAGTGGAACTGGGAGGGGGAGGAGAGGAGCGAGGCGGCGGCAATGCCTGCGGAGACTAGGGTTTTGTCGACGCCGATGTTGGAGCCCTAGATGAGGTAGATAGGGTGGGAGAGCGGGAGGGTGACGGAGTACAAGGCGATTTCGGAATGGGAGGGTGGGAGAGTCGGTGTTGGCGTCTCCTCCATTTACCAAATCGCCACTCTTGAACTATACCAGAGGCCCACTACTCCCTCCGTTAGGTTCTAATGTTTGGACTCTAAGTCCCACTTCAACAACGTCCTCAGAGCCCACCGCCACTCCACCTTCCAAACAGGCCTCAGGCCCACCCCGACCTTCGTCCCTTCCGTCGTCGCCACGCCCAATTCCTCCTTCCTCAGTGAAGAAGCCTTCAAAAGACTAAGCCACAACTTCGACCCTAACGACGAAGACTTCCACCAAAACGCCCATTCCGAAGCTCTGCCAGCTCTCCCTCCACCGCAACCCTCACGTTAAACCCTAAACCCTAAAACAAAACCCTCAACAAGATTGACAATTAAGAAAAACAAAAGGATTGGTGTGCAATTTTAAAATCTTAATCATAAAAAATTTATAGATTAAATATCTCAACCGTTTATTATTTTACTATTATATTTACGGTCAATTTTCATGGTGCATAGATACACCACTTATATTACTGGTCCTTCGGAGACTTCACCAAATTACCAACCCTATTGTAGTATAAATATACACTCAAAAAATGGAATCACAGTCTTTCACATATATGGGAATAGAAGAGAAGATACGCTGTGTTGTTCATTTCTCATTTATGCTACTGCCTTAGAGGAAAAGGGGAAGGGGTGTTTAATTTCATTTTTTTCTTCACACACAGTTCAAGGGAATGAGATTTGTTCTCTAAAATCCCTTTTTAAGTTTGGTTTGACTATAATTGTGTTGTGGTTTCCTTTATACTTGATCCTATATCTTAATAAATATATCATAATTTTTAATTACCATAATGCTTGTGTAATATAGATAAAGAATATGTTTGTACGATAATTATATTTGTTTAGGAAATTACCTTTCTATATGTAATAACCATGTGTTGAAAAACTAAGAATTTGTAATAGTTAGATTGAAAGTTTTTTACTCTTAGATCATATATACAAAATTTTATATTAATTAAAGACAATTTCATACTTCATTCTTGTAAAACAAAATTGACGTAATACATACATTTTAAAATATACCAAAATATGAACACTTTGATTACCTTCAAGTTGTTGTTCAATTTTAACAAAATTTGATATAAACATATAAAGGGATATAAACTTTCAATCTAATGGTTGGATTTACAAAATTCACATTTAATATAAAGTTATTGAGTGGTGTAATATTTAGCAAAAGTTACACCGGTATTATTATAACCCTTCTTATTTTAAAATATATAAATTATTATTTAAACTTTTAAATTTATAATAAATAATTTAAATTATATCACAATATTAATTTTAAATAGAAATAAGTAGATTGTTAATTGTAAAAGCAAGTATATATATAAATAAAGAATAATTAAATATAATATAATTATTATTATTGGCAATATAACTATTATATATATTATTATATTTTTATAACAGTCCAGATACACCGAAATAAGAGGGATCCAAAGATAGTATAAGTGTAAGATTGTATAGTTGAGGATGACTTAAATGAATTAATTTGTAATACTTATACTGACAACATGCATCTACCTTTCGGTAACTTATTTCATTAGAACTCCATAGTTAAACATGCTTAACTTTGAGTAATATAGGGATGGGTGACCTTCTGGGAGGTTTCCCAGAAACTGTGCAGTAACAGCAAAACACGCTGAAAAGTGAGGTGTTGTAAAATAGAATCCTTAAGAGGTCAAATATGAGAGTTGTTACATTAATAAATTTATTAAAATTAAACAAAAAAATTTTCGACGGATTAATCCGTCAGAATCATATAAAGATTTTCAAACAATTTCTGACGGATTAAATTTTTTTCGACGGATTTTTTTTTACACCCATTTTTTCGAAGGATTTGCATCCGTCAGAAATCTGTCAAAAATAGAGAATTTCTGACGGATTTTCCTTTTTTCCGACGGATTATGCCCGTCAGAAATTTACATTTTTCTTGTAATGTTTATTAAGGAAAAAACACACCCTAATTATTTTTATACTAAATCAACTAAAAGTGCAAATAGTATAAATAAAAATATTATATAATTTTTTTGAGAGGTCTAAAGTAAGGACTTGTTTGGCTTTAGGGTTGGCCAACCTTGACCTCCCCATTCCTTCTCATCTGGTGGTTTGGGCGAAGGTTTAGGGGTGTAAACAGATTGGGTTGGACTAAGTTTGAATGAATCCATTACTCAACTCGATCAAAATTCAACAGATTGGATTGGGTTGAGTTGGGTTTGTGTTTTCTTTGAAATACAACTCAACCAACCTGATCACGAACAGGTTTGATTGGATTAGGTTAGTCGACTCAACATAATTAAATTTTTTATTTTTGTAAAAACTTAAATATTTCATAACAATGTTAATCATTTGATATTTTATTACAAATACAATGTTATCAATCCATAAAATAAAGAATGATACAAACAAAATTTCAAAATAAATTTGTTGATTTACTATATTGTTATGAGCTCAAAAAACTATCATTAGTACAAAATAAAATTTAAAATAAATATATTATATTGTTATTGTTCCAGTAAAGGGATAACAGCCGGAGAACCCTTAATGATATAACCCTAAGAGAACCTAGCCGCCGTCCTGACCTAGAACATTAAAAAATGAGAATAACCTGGCTTTTACCAGTTCCCTTTCTCCTTATTTATATGGGTCATATATGCGTGATTCGGATCATCGATCCTCATTCCCTTAAATGCGTGCGGATCCCCCTCTCTAATGAGCCTATGATCCGCCTTTATGATCGTAATCAAATCTACGCAAGAATCACGGAAATCACAACCTTGATTAGTTTTACCGGAACTCACTCTTCCATACACCTATGACTAGCCTAAAGTCCGGGATGTTCGGTTGGATGGGGATCAAGAAGATATATTCTGTTCAGACTGCTCGGAAAATTGGAGATCAGGAGGGTACACAAACCCTCCTGGCTTATGTGTTATCAAGGCGGAGATGCGTTATCAAGGCGGAGACGTTGATCGGTCAGATCGGCAAATTGGAGACTCGGAGGGTACACAGCCCTCTTGGCTCGAACGTTGGTGACGCATAGAGACATTGATCGGTCAGATCGGTAAATTGGGGACCCGGAAGATACACAGTCCTCCTGGCTCGAGCGTTGATGACGCGTAAAGACATTGATCGGCCAGGTCGGCAAGTTGGAGACCCAGAGGGTACAGTTACAATGTTATCAATTCAAAAATACAAAATTCATTATTGAACAAGAGTGATAGAGAGAATAGTCATGTGTAAGTGATCATTCAAACATTAATTTATTATTATTATTATATTTTTTATTATATATAACTGGGTTGGAACATAAATAAAAAACACAAAACTCATTACTCGACTTATACAATGTTGAGTTTAATCAAATTAGATTCGTTCTAATCTAAATGCTAAAAAATCCAATCCAAACTTATTAAGTTACTCAGGGATAATTCAAGTTCATGAATTACTCGTACCTCCTTACATCTAAAAAAAAATTATTCTAGAGAAAACTAGTCCTTGAACAAAGATGTTCAAACTTGTAAAACTTTATTTTTCTTAATTGATATAAGAAAGTTTAACACCCCATTCAAATAAACTTTTAGTATATGTGAGTGAATTTGAGTTGAATATAATAAATTTTTAAAATCAAATTAAAATATGATTTTATTCAATAATTAATTTTATTTGTGTAGATATTAAAATTAATAATCAATAAATATGAATTTAGTCAATTATTAATTTTTATATATTTTTTAAAAATTTTATTCAACGATCATAATAAAGGGATAAGATATCGAGTGGATCCCACCATTACCTTTGCGACGAAGTTATATGAATTTAGAAAGATAATAAAAAATAAAATTTCTTGTTGGCAAAGTTACTAGCGTATATATATCACTCCCCGGTCTTCAGAGTCTTTCAAGCGGCTAACGGGTACGCTAGGACCTTTCTAAATTCTGTTCCAACAAAGAAGACTCGTTTCTCGATTAGGGTTAGGGTTTCAGTGTTTGCTCTGTCGGTTAACTTACGTTTCCCTTCCTCTTTCATCGCTTGCGTTTCGTTAGCTATGGAGTCTGCTCTAGTGATTAAGGTTCCGATCTTAATTTTCCTATTTTTCCTCGTATTTTTGTTTCATATTTGGCCTTTAATTTTCTTCTTTTATAGTATTACTTTTGTTTTGTTATGTACTGCGTTTAGTCATCTGGATATTGCTTGTAGAAAATGAGGGTGAATCGTTTTGGTTCGAGACGATTTTCCTAGCTTATAAGTTTTAAGTCTGATAGTCGTTATACTGTTTTCATTTCGTTGTCTATTTTGTTAGAATTGTGTTAAATGAAAATAGACGTGCGTCCCTTCTTCGCCGTTGATTTTATCGTTTCGGTGATCGGAGCACGGAATTTTATTTTTCTAACCCTCATATCGTGGATTTTAAAAAGACGAACGAGATTGAAACTCCCAACCAATGCTTGTTCGGTTTCGGTACGAGCAATTTGGTTTTTCCTTGAACACAATTTAGCTTAGGTTTCATGAAAATCTGTTCATTCCTGGCTTTTGTTTGTCATAGTTGATTTATTTATTTATTTGGCCTGGAGTACCTTGTGTGGTTTGAACGATTCTCATTTATGAATTTCCATTTGAATTAAAATTGTTGTGCCTAGTGGAAGTTTGTATAAATAACACAATTCATTTTACAGGTCTTTTTAGTTTTATTAATGGTATATTTGGGATTAATGTATCAAATGATCCTGTCGATCAAATATACGATCGTATATTTTAATTTTGCTGGTAATCTTTTAATATAACATGTGATTTGTAGGAGACCCATAGCCATTTTGTGGATTTTCATTAATTCAAAATTTTGGTACAAGATTTTGCTGATAATTTTTGTCGTTTTTGATATAGTTGTGCTTCATTTTGGTTATTTTTAATTAGTGGTTCTATAATCATGCAAATCTTTACTTATTGCACCACTTCTTGTTTGACAGGTAAAATATGGAGATACCCTCAGGCGCTTCAGTGCTCGTGTGGACCAGAATAATCAACTGGAGTTGAACATGGCTAGGTTGAGGGCTAAGATATGTTCTATCTTCGGTTTCAGTTCTGATGAAAATTTAATTCTGCGATATGTTGATGAAGATGGTGACTTGGTGACTCTGGCTGATGATGATGATTTGCATGATGTGATGAGGCAGCAATTGAAGTTCTTGAGAATTGATGTACATATCAACAATGACAGTTGTGGTAAATCGAATGCTGGGTCTAGTGGAAGTGCCACTCCCTTGGAACCTCCCCCTGTCAGAAACCCATTTCTGAGTAGGGATGCTATAGCTTCATATCCTCTGCCAGAGCCAGTACGTGAGGCTCTTTCTAAGTTATCAATATCAAAAGCTGCATCTTCAAGTCCTCTGGTTGATAATCTTGCCCTTTCAATTTTGAAAATGGGACAAGCCCTTCTAAATACTAGTTTTCAGCCTCGTGATGAAGCTGGTACAAGCTCAAAAAGTGGTGTTCCTGAAGAACATGTCACTTCTGAAACAATAGGTACGAATTCTCCAAATGTGGACTCAGCCTCCAAACAGGTGGAGGCTGGAAACGTAACCAGAGGTGTAGTCTCTGCCTCCAATGCCAGTCAACAGGTGGACACTGGGAATGTAATTAGAAGTGTAACAACAGCTGCAGGAGTTGCTGCCGTTGATCTCAATAGTCCTCCATGTGATCCCGATTCATCTCAGTCTGCAAATGTAATTAAGACTCCACTATCATCAGAAGTCCCTGATGGAGAAGGCATGAAGGTTAAAGTGTCTGCTGTCGGTAGTTATGCTGCTAAGGGTGACAGTGGGGGGGCATCCTCAAGTTCTGCAGGTCCTAATTACAGTTCGACCCAGATTAATTCATTGAGTTCTGGTTCTTTCATTGAGTGTCCATTTTCTGGGACATACATACCACCACATCTTAGAAACTCTCATATCCCCCCTTTTAAAAGGAGCCACAGTCACACTGAGGCAATGACTGGAATGTTTCACAAAGGGGTTCGCTGTGATGGCTGTGGTGTCTATCCAATAACTGGACCTCGCTTCAAATCCAAAGTGTAAGTACGTTGTTTTGTTTCGATTTATTGTGAAACCGGATTCAGGGGCGTTTACGTAATTTTTGTCCTTTATGCAGAAAGGAAAATTACGATCTCTGCAACATTTGTTTCAATGAAATGGGTAATAGGACAGATTATATCAGAATGGACCACCCTGCATCTTCTCGTGGCCCTCCATGCGTATATGGGCATACAAATAACATTGTAATCACTTTTGAACACTACACTTCTATATATTTCTTTTCTCCCCATGTAAATCCATTCATTTTCATCTTTTTCATTTATGGTGCAGGCAACATTACCACCACATATTTTTAAGAAAGGTGCAATTTTGAAGCATGGAAGGCCAAAGCTTGATAGTCAGTTTATTTTGGATGTCAATGTGATAGATGGTACAATGATGGCTCCATCTACTGCATTTACAAAGATCTGGCGGATGCGCAATAATGGCTCTATGATGTGGCCCAAGGGAACTCAACTTGTTTGGACTGGAGGAGACACATTTAGTTACTCCTGTTCGATTGACTTAGAGGTTGCTAGATATTCATATTGTAATTCAATTATTTCTTCAAGGTTTATGCAATATTAGCTTTTCTCTGGGTTTGTTTTGCTTGTTATAGAATCTGTGCTATGCTAGTCTTTTGAGTGCTCTCTCTGATTGAACATTCCAGGTTCCCGAGGATGGTGTCCCTGTTGGGAAGGAACTTGACATTGCCGTTGACTTTACAGCACCTCAGTTACCTGGTCAATACACATCATACTGGAGGATGGCAACTCGATCTGGACATAAATTTGGCCAACGTGTTTGGGTCTCTATACAGGTAAATGAGTGTTGAATGAATTTCTTTTTCCTTCATACATTTTGGCTGAAGTACATTAGGTCTTACTCTTGATGGATTAACAATACCATCGTCCATCGCTCTCTTGCATTATCATGTGCACAGGTTGACGCCTCTCTCAAGGACTCATTTTATGATAGCTCTCAAGGTATGAACTTGAATATTCCCCTTGATGTGAGTGGCTGTAAAGGACCCCAGGTTATAGATATCAATGTTCAGCCTATTGAGGATGATACTTTTCTTCAAACTAGCATTCCTAATGCTCCCATTGAACCTGTGAATCAAATGGTTGATATGGAACCAAGGTTGGGCCTGGAAAACGAATCCCCTACAAATGAAGCTACATTTGTTGGCCCTGCTGCCTCAGCCCCTGCAACCTCTGTGGCACCTTCATCAGTTTCTTATCCTATTATTGATTTAGCGGAAAGAGCCCTAGCTGTTCCCCCTAATCAGCAATCCTCAAATGTGGATGTGACATCAACATCTCTAGGGATTGGTGGAATCCCTACCTCTGTGGAGGAGAGTCTACTTAAAGATCTTGCTGAGATGGGTTTTAAGGAGGTTGATTTGAACAAAGAGGTCTTGAGGAAGAATGATTACGATCTGGAGCAATCATTAGACGATCTCTGTAGTGTTGATGTCTCTGTTATTTCTGAGTGGGACCCTATCCTTGAAGAGTTACAGGAGATGGTAAGTAAGTTGTTCTAGTTCTATCCTTTACCAAAAATAAATGCCTTTTTGCTTCTACAGACTTTGCAGTTCGAACTTCTGATTTACACCTCCCTTTTTTTCCATTCGGTCCTCTGACCAAGCAATATTTTGTCCAACTGAATACTGTTTTGATTAGTGATGGGGTGTGTATGCAGGGTTTCCGCGACAAGGAGATGAATAAGAGGTTGCTCAAGAAAAACAATGGAAGCATAAAACGTGTTGTTATGGATTTAATCAACGGAGAGTAGTTTTAATTGAAATGTCAGTTAATAGTTAATGTAAATGTGGTGACTAGTGCTTAGGATGCCTGTCGAATACATTCGCCAGGTCATCATGATTATCTAAAATCCTTACTCGATCTTTGTGTTGAGGTGATATTGTCATCGCAATTAAACAATTTGATCGATCCTATTATCTCAGATTTAAGAATGTATGAATTCAACACTGTGCTTTCGTATTTATATTGCTAAATCGTTTTAGATATGTACAGGTTTATTAAGCCTTATGACTTTTATTTCGAACAAGTTTTCTTTTTTAATTTTTAATTTTTGCGCTGCATGTGTGCAAAAAATAGCCAAAAAAATTTCCTACTGTGCGGCTGCGATTGGTTAAGTGACCCCTGAAAATGGCAGCTTTTTTGCAATCCGAGGATTTGATGCTTATTTTATTATAAATTTACAATGGCTTCGTATTCCTACCGATGTCAACATCTTCCTTGATCTTCGTATTCGCAACAGAAATACTAGGTGAATTACCTAGTCTAATTGATGCACAACGTTAAAACCTGAAGCAAATCAATCACATAATCTTGCATGTGTCCGACTGATTGCTTCAAGTTATTTTTCTATGTGGCTGTAAAGGCACTTTTTATTGCCTGTTTTTTATTCTTCCCATATGGATCTCCAATTCCAGATTCTGTATGCGGAATTGCTGTAGGGTCATCCTCTGGGAGGCTGGGGCATTTTCTGGGACATGGTTGTTACTTTTAGTTGGAAGAGGTGGAACATTTTCTATCACTGTTTGGTAGTTGCTAATTAGCGTAAATTTAAGAGGAGGGAGAGGGAAGTGGGCTAATTGAAAAAAAAAAAAAAAAACACGTATGATGTAGAGTGGGTAAGGAATTAAGTAATATTTGAGGTGGGTTGCATGCTTAACTTCTTATCCTGTTTTGTGAGGATTTGCACGAAAATTGGACACTTGAAAATTGGATAACGAAAATAGTTTTCGTACAAAACAGTTAGTAATATCGTAATGCATTATATGTGACATGTTATTTGTGTATTTGAGTTCACCACAATTGACTCTAGTTAGAAAATAATTTATTACGTGATAGGTTTCAAGTGTACTAAAGTTTCATAATTTATTATGGATTTAACATAGTTAATTATGTTGTTACTTAATAAAAGTACTATGAGTAAACGTAATATAATCAATTATGTCAATTAGTATAATTAATTATACTATTAAATTATATTAAAAAATTAATGAATTTTTTTTTATTTAATTTTTATAATTTTATTTATTTTATTTTTTAATTTCTATAATTTTAAATAAATTTTGTAGTTTTTATATTTATCTTTTTCAATCTTTATTAATACATATAATTTAAGATAGATTTTTTAGTCCTCAATTTTGTAATCTTTTTAGTTTCTATCATTAATTTATTTTAGCATTATTTATTTTGTGTTGACGTGGTAGAGATCTTTAATTTTGTGAAGGTAAAAAAAATATCTTAATAATGGACATTACAGATGAGGGTATAAAAGATACGTAGAGTATTGAAAGAGATCTATTTAAAATAACTCCAATAACATAAATTTAACATCAGACATACAAAGTTGAATTAATATCTTTATCATATCAACGTAAAAGAAATGTTATAAAATGATTACATTTTAAAAACACATACTAAAATGATTACAAAAATTGTGAATATACAAACTAAAAAGTTTTATATTAAACTATGAGTTAATCATCGATACACTGCCAGCGTAAAATTTTTTACACTGGCAACCAATCATATCTTTTAAAGTTGCTTATTTTATTATTATTTTATTAAATAAGCAACTGAAATGACAATATTAAAAGACATGATTGGTTGTTAGTGTAAAAAAACTTTACACTGACAGTGTATAGGTGATTAACTCTTAAACTACAGGAATTAAAAAAATGAAAAAAGATAAATATAAAAATTAAAAATGTCTATTTTAAACTAAAAGGATTACAAAAGTTACAAATATAGAGTAAAAAAGATTTATCTTAAACTATATAGATTAAAAATGATTGAAAAATATAGATATAAGAATTAAAAAGATTTATTTTAAACCATAGACTAAAAGAAAGAAAAAAATAAGCAAAATTATATAAAAAAAATATTTTAATCAAAATTAAAAATCATGTATTATACGTCAAAAGAGACAAATGGATAAAATAGTAATTGGTTAAAACATTTTTGTATAAAATTTTAACTATATAAAATACAATTTAAAATATCAATTTCTCACTTAATTTTACTTTACCAAATAACTATAATGTTTATTCTAAGTTTTACTTATTTTCTATCAAATATTTTCTTACCTATTTCCTTCTATTCTTTTTAGAGTTTGTTTGGTGACCAAGATATGATAGAATAATTATCCTAATTTCTTATGATCAATTATTTGTTTATGGTGTTATTTTATCTCTTATTTTATTTTTTATTTAATGTATTTTATATTTTGAGGAGCATTTAGGTTACAACAAGTGACACTAAATGTCAATTCAAGATACATTTTTCTCACCGTGGATTTGAAAGTTTGCTTGTGAAACACTATTGGATTTACACTCTGCTTGATAGAGGGTAAGGAATAAGAGGAAATGGAAGGAAATAAGTGAAAAATAATTTAATAGAAAATAAGTAGAATTTATAGTTGATTGCTAAAATATAATAAATGAGAAATAAAGGTGAAATGATATTTTAAAATGATATTTTATTAAAGTAGATTTTTTATATAAAAATAAGTAATATATAAAATTACAATTTTATTTTTTTAGAATATATATATATATATATATATATATATATATCAAATATGAATTGTATATCAAGTAACAAATATATAAGCTAAATATAAAAGGTAACAACCACACATATGTGAAGTAATAAATTATCTTTATTAATGCGAATAAATAAATAAATAATCTAATATTAAAACTAATCAAATAAAGATAATCAATATAGAAAAATTAAATTCATAAATAAATATTACAAACAACATAATTAAATAGTAAATTATAAGTCAACATTAGCAGTAACATAATTTAATATGAAATATAACGGTACACTATATTATATTCACATAGGAAAAATAATCAAATATCATAAACATAATCAAATATAGGTGATCATAATAGAATATTATATACAACATAATGGAATATAGTGACCACAATTGATTATAATTCGTTTGACTTGAAACTATAATCGATTATACTTAAACTTGACCACTTTTTCACTCACAAATCTATAACTTCATTACACGGACATGTAAGCGAACTAGAAGAGTTACATGAGGATATTATTATCTTTTCAACCAAAATTTAATCAAATTTTTTCATATTTGAATGAAAATATAATGCACGTGCGAATCATAACAGATTCTCCAAAATTCACTCATTTCTACTCTATCAATCATGGATTTTTTTTTTTTTGAAAATTCACCTTCTTCCCCTTAAATTCACCTCTACCAAGTAGAAGATTACTATGAAAACTTAACTTAGCTTCTGGCAACTTTTATGAACAATTATATGCATTTACCCAAAAGAAGAAAAAAGGTTAAAAATGTTTTACTTTTATTACATTACATTTTTTAAATAAAAGATCAATATTAAATAAAGTAAAATTGTTACAAATGAGTTATTGGGAGACAAGCAAATATACATGTATTTATTTATTTAAATATTCATAGAAAAAAAAACATCAATCTCTCTCGCCTTCTCGTCACTATATATTGTTACTAGTCGAGAATAAAATTGATTTTTTTTTAAAAAAAATAGTTTTTCATTGTTACTTAAAAAAAACTATTAATTTTAGTACATATTTAAATAAATTTTTCCATAAGTATTTCTAGAAGAAAAATTCTAATAAAATAACAAAAATAAATCTTTCACAAGTTAAAGTTATCTTCTTATATATTTTTTGTTTAACTTTACTGAAAGCTTATATGCAAGGTAAACAATATATTTTGAAGAAACTAATATGATATAACTTTTAAAATTTAGTTTGTTTTTCTTTTTGAAAAAAAAAATGATTATCCTATAAGCGCACTAGAATTTTTTAGAATTCGTTTATTTATTGCATGAGTATATTGTTTTGGTTTTGCCAGTTGCCACATTTCATTTCATGTTACCGGAAGGATTTTCACGGTGAGGTGCCTATTACAACAATATTGTGGCTGGAATGCTATGATGTAATCATTTTAGTGTTAACAAGAATTTTAAAAGAATTGGATGAACTGACATCCAAATTGAAAAGTTATACTAAAGGAATTTCTCCATCTCTAGATAACTTTCTACTTGTTTGGCCCAAAATATGTACAATGCAGCTACTTTCAATGATTCACAAGTCAATTCTGGCCGTATATCAGAACCATGATCTATTTTCTTTTCCATTACAGTACCAGATATATACTATTAATACACTTTTTTATTTAATGAGTTTCCTCCCATGATTTTATAATTTTTAATAAATAATAAACAATATATTAGGATTGTATCTGAGAGACGTTCTTAACACTCCTCTTCCATCTTATATGCTTACTTTTCCATGGAATTAGATTCTCTGGAGGAATGGAATCTAAATGTCAGGTTGAATCTGCTTTTAAATTGATAAATATCCAAGGAATTAGGTTCAAGGCAATCAATTAGAGTATTAAATAAAGCTTGTTATACCTTTCATTCTGGCTATAAATTGCAGCATGTGCTAGCAGAGTAAGCGTGTGCTTGTGCGTGTATCTATACTTCTTAGGAAAAAAATCATCAGAATAAAAAAATGCTTCGCTCTGAGGACTACCATGCCCACATATCAAAAGTTCACAGGTCACATAGTGTTCTCCCTGATGTCCCTAGGTACCCCAATGCTCACTTGGCCTTCCAGAACCAACACGGCCATCACAACTCAAATCCTAATGAGAGGACTGAGGTGGTAGACTATGATCAAACCACCACCTATCCTGGGAGGAGTGAAGCCATCTGCCAAGAAACAGTGGATGTTGAAAGTGATCAGTACACTCCCAGGAAGAACAAGGGTCGCTTTGAATTGCACAAGTGGAAGACCTATAGGCCTTGAGAAGCTCATGGCCACGACACTAGTTTGCCACAAAAACTACCTACTACATCATAGTCAGAAGTGTGATTGTGTTGTGTGAAATAAATGTCTGGTTAGCCAGCTATTATGTATAATTAACCCGGGAGTGTTTCATACATGTAGTACATTAGTACTGAACCTCCCATGTATGAACTATTAATGAAGCATATACATCACTATATCTATATCTTATTTTAATTACAGCTTGCAATAGTTTACTACTACTTATTGGTTAAGAGAGAAAATTAGGGGAAAAAAATTTCTTTAAATTAAAATTAGCTTATACATAAATTATTGTTAATTTGAGAAGTTTATTTCTATTTTTTTTTTCTTAAAATGATTTTTGGGAAAATTTATCCAATTAGGCACTTAATCCTTCTCCCCATTTTAAGTTTTAGTCCCAAAACAAATTTTTGTGGTAATTTATCATCACCAGAAAATTCTTGTAGCAGTCTTGCACCTCAAGAAAGTGTTTTCTAATATTAGTAACAGACACTGAAACTTAACTTTTAATGCATGTGCTAAGACTAGAATTTAAAGTAGGACATTAAATAAATTGTTTAACCTCGTTTATTTCAACTTTACTTCGTTGACCTTTGAGTATTATCCTAATACATCCTTCAAAGAGAACAAAATCCATCAGTATAAGGAAGCCAGAATATGAGGGTGCATCTCGAATAAATTATAAGCAAATTAAGAGTAAATAAAAAAAAGGGGGCGTTTCACTAGAAGAAAATAGAAGTCATGTATCATTTAGTTGTGGAATTTTGGGGGCATTAAATCGCCTAGAAGACATAAGATTGAAGAGATTCCTGAGGCTATTCTTACTCTCAGGCTTGGGCTTGCGTTGGATTGGAGCGGAACCACACAACTGATCAAAAGGGTTATCTAAAGCCAAGCCAGTCTCTATCCTTCTTGAAACTGTGACAAGCTCATAGGAGTCCCAAAGAGAGTGCTGAAAGTCCCAATAAGTGTTTTTAGAAGAAGTTGGTGGCTTGTTCAGTGCTTCGAGCTTAAAGCGTGAAGGCTTTCCTCTGAAGTTTCTTCGATGAGCGTCGAATTCGCTCATGGGTTTGGAAGTGCCAGAGTGGTTGTACCAGGCCTGTGCAACGGCTTTCAGAACTTCCAAGTGTTGGGGCTCGTGACGAACCTCTGGCCTCTTCTTCATGGCACTCAGAAAGCCTTGTCTTCATGAGGCCTTGCTCTTGGTCATGTTACTTTCCTGGAAAGCATGGCCTCACATCAAAGGGATAAGCTGAGGCAGACGCTACTTCTTTCTTCTATTTTTTTTTTCTCTTTTTTCTGGTTACTGGGAAGGCATTTTGTTTTGTCTTTGTTATCCTTTTTTTGTGACCATGAGTTTATTTCTGTGTTTTTGAGTTTACATAAGTGGCGTTTGGGAAGTGCCAACGTGGAATATCCTCTCTCTCTCTCTCTCTCTCTCTTCTCAAACGATGATCCAAAGGGTACATAGGTTACATTATGATTTCTATTTTCTTCTCAGTAAAGTAGTAAATTGCTAATTTGGAAAAAAACTTACTTTGACTAAGACATAAGAAACAAATTGAAGGGAGAAGTGTTTATTTTACTTGCTTGACAATATTTTCTCGAAATAACATGATTGTAGAATAATATTCGTGCATTTATCAGATTTAAATGAAAAAGTATTAAATAAAAGTTCCAATAAAGTCATGAGAAAATAATTTTCTTGACAAGTGAGATTTTTGCATGAACTAAAGGATCGTGTAGTAAGAATATAGCTTGAGGAAAGTTTGAACACATTTTTTGGTCTACAGAAGAGGTTGAATTAAGCTCAAAAGAAAGTCCCATTTGAAACCTTAATGAATGGAGAAACAAATATGACTAGCACTTTTTAAGGAAATTCTGTGGTATGTTGTGTTTTAATCCTTATGTATTATTTAAGGCTCAAACTCCATATGACTTTAACAGAGACTCTTTTTACATATGATCGATCATACGTGCTAAATTAAAACCCATTTGTTTTGTTTTTTTTTTAATTTTAAATAACACTAAATAACTTTGTTGGTGTTTAATATATCTTCTGGATCAAACAGATTTTTCCATTCTAGTGCAGATATTTTGTTGATACAGCTGATGACAAAGCATATGTTGGTGCCCCAACTATTCAAGGTCATTGTGAGATATTTAGGCCCTGCTTTCAGGAACCGATGCGTATTGGATAATATAAAGGTAGAGTCTCGAATCTTGTCCTGGCATCTTCTTTTTCTTTTCTAAAAGGCATACTGCAATTTAACTGTACTCCACTCATGCATGTTGTTATTTTAATCTTATGGCTAATCATACCTAATTGATTAGGATCTTTTTTTATTATTATTATTATTTATGAAAATCAAGCTATTTACAATAACACACCTTATTCAACTAATTGACTTAAATTTCCTTGATAAATCGTTAGGATTTAAGAGACTGATGCTTCCAAAATATGTTGAACGAATCTGATATTCATGAGGCTGCAGATTTGCTTGCTAGGAGTGAGCGGAATGCCTTCAACAGAACCTTGGTGCTTAACTTTTTGAATTCAACCATATTGGGTTTCTTTAGTACAAAGATAGGAGCCAAAAGAGGGAACACCTTTGCTTCCTGACTGAAATGATTTACCAATTTTACCCAAAAAATAGTGTCAATCAAAATGTAATCCTTGAGTTTGCTGCATTTTAGTATGGTATAAATGTTCGACCCCGCAGTTGTATTTATTTATATTACATTCAATGGTGTGGACCAGTAGCACTACATGGCTGATAAGAAGCATTGGCCTATAAGAAGCATTGGCCTTGGCGGTGCTGAGTTATCTTGGAGACAGAGGCACATGAAAACTTGAGACTTCATTGTTAGCAATACAACTACTGATCATTGTTAGTAATGAGGCTCCCATCTTTTTTAATTATCTGTCACTAGCATTCTTAAAATTGGTTTTGCCTAAACTGTCGTAAGCCAGTCAATAATTCTGAAGATTCTAATAACCTCTTACTAATTTGGGGAATTAAAGATGGCAATGAGAAAAGATACAATGGAAAGTCATGATAGATCCATGGTTAATGAAAATGATTCAATAATAACATTCTGGCTCCACGGAGAATAGTCGGCATTTGCCATAAATACAATCGAGATTCAAGAGTGACATTACTAACCAGGACTATAAAAGCCAACATAAGAAGCCAAAACAGCGTTCCCCTCAAAAATATTTTCCATGTAATGAATTGTCAAGCATGTACATCCATCTCCATTAAAAGAACACAAAAACTGCAATTGATAAATCTTTTGAAAAATAGCCATTAATATAACATTACAGGTCAAATGACCAAAACCATCCAAAAGCTTGATCAACTTGATGGCATCAATCATTTGAATTTTGAAGAAAGATGAAATAAGTGCTAGGAGAGAAAACATTCTAGGGATTAGGCAGCACCTGAGGGTCACTCTCGGATGAACCAAAAAGTTTACAGATTTTACTATGCTTACGTATATGGTGAGGAGACTTGTACAATAGATCTTTGGCCTCCGAGAGTCTACCTTCTCTGAACAAGGATTCAAAAACCTGAACATAAACTGTATGGGATGCGTAGCTTTTTACACTCAATGCCTTCAGGAATTGATCAGCATCCTCCACAGACCCAAACTTTGAAATATAAGGCACAAAGGGTAGGTGGTACGGAGGGTAGTTGTGGCTCTTCATCAAACGAAGAAGTTTGAGTGCTTCCTCAAACTTCATGACTCCTAATAGCTTTTCAATCAGTTTCTTATATGTAGCTTGCCATGGAGATATACGACACTTCCTACTTATCTCCATAAGCAACTCGTATGCACCTTCTATTCTCTTTTGTCTAAGAAAACCTTCAATCATAACATCCAACAAATCAGCATCTGGATCACAGCCCTTTTCAATCATCTTAGTAAAACAAAGCAATGCTTTATCTACTTCATTGCCATCATAATGCCCTTGGATCAAGATGGTCCAAGTCTTAATATCCGGGATGCATCCACAAGATTCCATCTCCTCCAGCACTTTATATGCTTCTTCAAACCTCCTCATCTTACAAAGTCCAAAAACCAATTGACTGTAGGTGATGTTATCAGGCTCATGGCCAGCATTTCTCATAGTCCTAACAATATTTTCAGCTTCATCAAATTTCCCAGCACCAGTCAAACACCTGTGGATTCCATCATAGATTGCCTTGGAGAGAGTGTGCCCTGTTGACTCAAATTTCTTAGCAACCCTGAAAACTAAATCCAAATTTGGCTTATCACTTCCAGAGATGCTTTTCAAAAGAATGCTGCAATCCTGGACCAATGGCTTATATGAACCATCCATCATAAGCTCGTAAAGCTTGACAGCATCCTCCATCAACCTATTCTTTTGAAGCATCCTCGATATCTTTATGTAAGTATCAATATCCAATTCGTGACCCACATTCTTTATCTCCTCAATAACACTCCAAAACTCCTCAATTGAGTCAGACCGCGCAAGAACTCTTGCAACAGCATTGTAAGTCACTGTATTATGCTCATAACCAGATTGCTTCCCAACCCAATGAAAGAACTCGTAAGCCTTTAAAGGAGCATTCCTAAGCTCTTTCAAAACCCTTATTACTAAATTATCCGAAAGCTGAATTTGAAGCTTTGCAAGTTCATCCTTAACCCCATCACCCCATTCAGACACTGAAATGATATCAACCACCCTGGTGACAATACTTTGCTTTGCATTCTCCTCTACCATCCGATCATAGAAGTGAGTCAAAGCAACAGAATCGCTGTCCATCTTTTCCCTTTTAAAACCATAAAGAATCGTCAAATATGTTTCTTCATCAAGATAAAACCCCTTTTCCTTCATCATCCTTAGAGTAACCCAAAATTGCTTCATCGTATCCTTGGTCGCCAAAACCCTAACAATTAAGCTATACAGCGAAGAACTAGCCCTAAACCATTCTTTCTTACTGACCCAATTGAAAAAAGACGAAACTTTTTCTGGGTTTTTATCCAACCGCTTTATAACGTAAAGAACGGTTTCATGGGTCATAGATGGGCAACGATTTTCTAACTTGTGCTCTAACTCTTGTGACCAATCGTTGGTCAAAACAAGCTCCACAATGGTGTTCGGTTTTGTAGAAAAATAGAGTTTGTGGTGAGTGATGGGAAAACGTAAAAAGTGAGACCTATCCAAAAGGGGTAGTGGATTATGGAGAGAGAAGTGAGTCACCTGGTTCCGAGTTCCGAGTGACGACTCGAGCATTCTGAGGGAAGCGGCAATTGCCTTAACGCGGTTCATCGCTACGCCGAAATGGGTAGTTTGAGTGTTAGGGAGGGTTTAAGCAAAGCAGTAACCATAAAACACTGGTTTTATGGGTATGGATCCAATCCATGGGTTACCCGTTTTCTACGTGTTTAGTGGTTCTCTTCTTTTTTTCATAAATTTGATTCTAATTATTTTAATTATATAATTTTGATATACATATAACATAACATTTTATAAAAATACTAACACCATCCTCTTTTAAATATAAACTTTTTTATCAGATTTTTTTAAATCATAAAATTTTAAAAGTCACATTTCTTAATAAATTTTTCACATAATTTTGTATTTCTTAATAAGTTTTTAAGAAAATATAAAAAAATATATTAGAAAAAATATGAAAAAGTGAGTCATCAATATCTATAAAACATTCAATATTTAATAAAAAATAATAATATATTATTATAATACACTATCACATTAATATATTCATAGATTTTGACAATTTGTGTTATTTTAATTTTATCAATTGTTTGTTAAATTATTAACAAAATATTGATGTGATAAATTTTATATGGATAAATTTAATGACATGACATGTCTTCCAAAAATTTAATTATATTTTGTACTCTTGAATTTTCATTTTTTTGGTAAATTTTATTATATATAATTTTTTCTCGATTTATGTTTTCAACCTTTTAAATTTTTGACGATTTTTGTTATTTCAATCAAATCCATCAAAATACTAATAAAGTATATGTCATTTATGTCATTGTAATGAGTCTAAATGTAAAAGGAAAAAACCTTAGTAAAAATTTTGTAGGTAATTATTTGAAATACTTGGAAGAATTACATGTAGTAAATTACATTTGATCCAATGTTATATAAAATGATGGTTTCATTTAATATAATTGTAACATTTTTTTATATACCTTATAATTTTTTATATACATTATTTATACTCACATATATACACATTGATATTGTTGTCATCCTTATTAACTTTTCGTTTCAAACCTTTTCTTATAATATGGTGTTGTAAGGTCAAAATAACTTTCGCTTTTTACTTATTCAGTTAGTTATGACTTTATATTAGAGTATTGTTTGATTAATTAAACTAAAATTTAGTTGAAGTTAATGATTTTACTGGACCCATCTTATAAAAATATGATATCTTTAACTATGAGGTAACATCTAAAATGGATAGATTGTCCAAATAATATAAATCATATATTTTTTTGTGATTTAATTGTGTCAATTCAATGCCTGGGTTTTTAAGCAATTAGTGTTATAATTAGTTATCATTTTTTAATGTATAGATATTGTATATCTCACATTAATTCAAAAGTTAAAGTAGCATGCTTAACCTATACCCAAGTACCTAATTATCAGTTCTCACATTTACAAAAATGGATTTGTGAGCTTAACATGCATATATTTCTACACTTAAAAAATATGTCAAATCTTATGTATGTGCTCTATAATTTAGTAGCAATCAGGTCTTATGATTGGAATTTACAGTGAACATGTTAAATTACTAGTACTACCATACTATACATTTGTTAGTTTTTTGCTAGACAAATGACGAGAATAGACAAATTGTCAAAAGTTAAGAGTTTTGGAACATAAATCATGAGAAAAATTACCTAGAGACAAAATTCTTAAAAAGTGAAAATTTAGGACATAAAGTGCAAGTGAATCTCCTTCACACATGTCATATTAAGTTTACTTACGTTAGACATGTTATATTAACACTTCATTAATATTTTAACAAACAATTAAATGGAGATAAATTGTTAAAATCTAAAAGTTTAGAGGACATAATTTATGAGAAAAAAAAACTTGGGAACAAAATTTTTCAAAATGTGAAACTTTTGGAACACAAAATGCAGTTAAGCTTAAAATTAAATTTGTGTACCTATTTTACGCTACGTCAATAATTTTTTCATATCAACTTCAATGCTCCTAAGATCTCCAAATGGAATTTTAGTCACAAGTTCTTTAAAGGATGACATACATATAAAAAGACAGTCTGTTCAAATAAGATTTCAATGCAAAACAATAAAGGCAAACCATAAATGCATGAATGGTATTTTTACATCAATATACAAAACTCCATTATTCTAAATGTAATGAATTCGGATCTTTCAACTTTTATCTCTCATTACCTTATTAGGCAATAGATTGCTAATGATGATTTAATCATGTTAATGTTACTAATAATTATATTACTTTTGACATATCTTATGTTTAAGTTTGTTGACAACAAGACCTCAATAGCTTGACAGTCAAATATTCTGAAAAGTATATTAAGTGATCGGCTTTCGAGTATGACAAGTGGAGGTTTGGTTCCCATTCATGAGATACACCGACAAGCATATTGGTGCCCAATGGGACTTTGGGTTTCACTTGCAAGGTAAGGTATGCATAATGCATGTCCCTTTTAGTATAATTTGTGATATCTCAACTTGTCTCGATTTTTTCAGGATTAAGTGACTCGAGTACCCTTCTTCCCTTTTAGTATAATTTGTGACAACAAAAAATAAAAGTAGGAGCTGAATTTGCAAAACTGAAAAATTACGAAACAAAAATATAAGTAAGCCTTTGTTTTTCTATAAGTAATTCATAAAATTAGTAGACATCAATAATTGGTTATTTAAAATAAATTAAACTAAACAACTTAATCCAATTGGAATCTTTTTACTGTGCTGATGCCTATTTAATCATAAAAAAAAGTGTTTTTTTTTCGCCAATGAATAACTCATAATTTACGTATGAAGTTTAAAATGCATGTAGACAGAGTTGAAGGGAGTTTTCAAAAATTTACTTGAAGTCATAACAGATAATTTTTTTTTATAAAAAAAATATTAACTTAAATAAAAGTTATTCCAATTTTAAGTTCTTATTTGTACTTTTGTTACATTGTTCAGTTTTTAAGGGTATGTTTGTAATATAATTATGAAAGAAAATAAAGGAAAGATAATTCTTTTATTTTTAAAATAAGAAGAGTTGTATAATATTTATAAAAATAATTTATCTCTTCCATTTTAAAAATATATATATTAAATTAAAAATACATATCCGAATTCAGAAATAAAAATTTTATCCTTGCTTTTCTTTTCCTAAAAAACTTAACTAATAATAAACAATATCCTAAGTGAATTAGGGAATGAAAGAAGTTTAATACAGAATTCATGAATTCCTAGTTGAACAAAAAAATCAGTTTTTCTTTTCAAAATATCTTTCCACCTCAATAACCAAAAGACTAATTTCTTAATATACGATTGGCTATAAAAGCTAATATTTAATATATCTTCATACAATAAATAATATATTTTATATTATTAAAAGAAATAATTAATATTAGTTATGTGTTTTATTGATTCATATAATATTAATAGTGGCTTAAAAAAATGAAAAGAAAATAAAGCTAAAAAATGAAAGACAAAAATGAGTGTATATTTTATGTTTATAAATAATATCATATTAGTTTATTTATAAATAATATTTTGTTATTTATAAATATATTATGTAACATTGTAAGATTTTGTGAATTATTGTTTCTTTAGCTATAGTTATATATTGAGGTGTTCGAAAGTAGGGTGTTGAGAGACTTTGTGAATTAAGGAACTCATGATGAGTCATTAAGTGTTTTAGAGAGTTTCTCTTGGTAAAGATCTAGTTTAACCCTAAGGAAAAAGTATAAAAGGTTTTGTTTAGAATTAAGTCTCATAAGTTCAATTCTTCAAAATCTTAGAAAAATAAGATAGGTAGAAGCTTTTTGGAGTTTGTGAGTTTCTCTTAATCTCTAAGCTTTCTATTAAGAGGGTGATTCTTTTCCCGAAATGTTGATTTTGGTTGTACTTTGTTGATTCAAGTTAGTGAATCTTAAATCATAGTTGTTGAGTCATCCAGAGCTTTCTAGTGAAGCTCGAAACCATCTTTTTCTACCTTCTTCATCTTCTTCTTGGATTTGGGAATTTTTGGAGGTAAGGGAAGTTAGGACTGGATTCTTGTTGCATGTTTTGAGTTGTGTGCATGTAATGTCTACTAATTAGTTTGCAATGGTGAGGTTGAATTGCATGAATTTGAAAGAAATGGCTGAACGTTATGACTTTGGTTTTCAAAGAGAGAAAATTTGGTGATTTTGACTTATACTTGGTTGCATATTGATCAATTTAAGTTTGGATTCGAGTTGTTGATGATTTTTATGTATGAAATATTGCAATGCATGTTGGTATTTTTTAGTTTTTAAGTGGCTTGAGCCAATTCATGGTTTACTAAGTGTAAAACTCACCATCGTGCCAGACATGCCTTCATAACGTTAGGCGTGGTTTTAATAAGAGGTTTTTTGTCTTGCTCACATCAGATGTAGGATTGTTGATGTCACACATGAGGAGAGAAAATTCTCTTAAGTTGAAATGATGTCAAAAATGGTTTGAGTAACGTTGGATGTGGGTGAAGGAATTGTCTTTGCTTGGATTGGCACCGAGCACCAAAGGAATGATGCCAAACATGAGGAGAGAGAATCATTTTTACTTGAGTTAATTGGGATCGGACACGGGACTTTGTCATGCCAGGCGTGAAAGTCCAAGGGTCACTACCTCATCTACACCAAGCGCAAGTTGAATGGTGTCGAATGTGGGCAAGGTAGAAAGCTCTTTGCCTCAATGGCGTTGGGCACAAGGTGTGTGATGTTGGGCATGATTTGTTTTCTTGTTTTGTTTTCTTGTTGTTTAAATGATTATATGTTGAACACGAATAGATTAGGTGAATGTATTGCATATTGTATGTTGTTAAGTGTGGTTGGGATTTATGTATATTGATATGAGATAATATATATAGATGATCATATAGTTGAACTGTTGAAGTGCAATTGTGTTGTACATTGATTAATGTTCTTAGATCGATATCTATTAACGTAGGATAATACATATAGATGATAATTGTCAAGGTGTGATGTTGAGAATGTTTTAGGCATTTAGGCATGATTTGTTGACCTATTAAGTTGTTAATGCTAAGAGTGCTATAGACATTTAGGCATGTTGTGTTGATATATTGTTAGG